TTCTTCTTCTTCTTCTTCTTCTTCTTCTTCTTCTCCTTCTTCTTCTTCTCCTCCTCCTCCTTCTTCTTCCCATTATTTGCCCCCCAAAAATGGAAAACAAAGTATCGTAAGCAATAAATTTAATTTTATTTTGAACAATCATAACTCTACTTTATTCACATTTCTTCGACTGCGATGTAAATTTAGTTGGATATGCATTAGCCGTGCATAAAGAAGACAAAAGTTCCATCCCTAAACACTTGTTTTATCTTTGTTAAGTTCATTATTATTTCATTTTACACCCAGTATATACTATGCCTTGGTGTGGTGGTGTCATCTAAAATATGTCACCAAACTATAAACACCACAGCCTCGTTGGCTGCGTAAAGCAAGTCTCTATATTATCGATTACGCGTTTGGTTTTATCTATATAACAATATTCTTATGATTTAATTTTTTTTTTAAATTAAAGGTATTTTCATGTCCCTGTGGATACGATTAAGATTATTTAGGAGGCAGGCATCCAACCCTGCCTGTTGGGGCCAACCTCCGCAGAGAGGGATAAATCATCTCAGCATAAAAACCGAGGTAAATGCATTCGAAAAAAATAAATCCCTACTCGGGAATCAAACTCGGGTCCACAGAGCGCGACACCACAGTGAAGAGCCTAACCACTACATCCATAGACGCCGGTAATAATATTATATTCCTCGTGTCGTCAGATCTGATTCTAATCCGAAGAGATTTTCCGAGTTGGAAGAAGGAAATTTGACTTGAGTAACGAACAAGCGGCGCTAATGAGGACTTTGACGTTGGAGAAAGGGACCAGAACAAATCCGCCCCTGATTTCCTTGTGTGTCATTGTCTGTCTCTTTAGTACTGAAGATTCAGCGAAAATGGCATCCGGATCATTTTGCAAATGACTGCCATATTCAAATCCCTGATCATCCCCTGAAAGACGTCTAGCTTGTAATATGGTAGCATTCTGGTTTTGACTTCAGACGGACACAATTTGTTCCCAAATCAGAGGTTGTTTGCAGGTGCTTTTTCTGTATCTCTCTCTTTCTTTCCAAAGCAACATCTATCTTTATTATCTCTCCCTTTTCTGAAGGTGGTTGGAGGCGCCACTGGTAGATCCTAGTTCTTTCTTTCCCTCTGTTGTTTCTATCTGTCAGTCGTTTTCTTTCCCAGCTCTAAATTAACACCATTGTGTCGATGTGCTTCTCTTTACCCAAACAAAAATCCCCTCCTTTTCTTTGTTTATTTGTGATTGGTGGGTGCTTTGGTGTGATTTGTCCCTTCTTTACTATCAAACGGTTTCGTTTCTTCCTTACTTCTCCTCCTTCTGTGTTTGTTATTGTCTTGTAACACCTTTAATCTTCGACCCTTTTATGAGCTTGCTGTGCTGCAAGTGCGGTAAAACTCTTACTAAAACTAACTTTATTTGTATGTTACCAGCTAGTAACAATTGAAATATTCGACACTTATAAGGCCTTTTTGTGTTGCAAGCGCCGTAAAACTCTTACTGAAACGAAACTATAACAAATCAGACAAACGTGATTCGTTCTCATTTCGTTGTTAGGTGAACTCCCTGTGGCTTGGGAAGTTTGTAAGATGTGGGCGTATATGTGTGTTTGCGTGTTTGTATGTTTGTATAATGTGTGTGTGTATGTATGTATGTTTGTGTTTGTGTGTGTGTGTGTGTGTGTGTGTGTGTGTGTGTGTGTGTGTGTGTGTGGTGTTTGTAAGTCTGATTGTGATGAGGGCACGCTAACAACATAATATACACACAAGAATACATTACCTCCAGGTTTTATTTAGTTTGGTTTTCTTCTTTATAACTGTGTATTTGTGACAGAGCCCTGTATCTCTTCCTGCTTATACAATCTGTATGATGTTCATCCTTGCCAGTTGAAGATGGCCTTGACTTTGGACCACATCACCGGCGGGTGATGGTTTGTATGAAGACACTTATAATTATATTCAATAGTTTACAGTTGTGATTCGATTATAATTACAATTTTTTAAAAATTAAGTCTGAAAACACCACTACAAAATAGACAGGGACATAGATAAGTAAATATATAGATAGATACATTTTAATGAACAAATACACAAAAATATATTATACTATTACTACTACTACTACTACTACTACTACTACTACTACTT